AAAATACAGGTTAATTGCGTCCAGGATACAGGACAACAAAAATCTTCAGATTTGCTTTTCTATTAATTAATCCTTGTATACTGAAATGGCTTTTGGCTTTTCTGTTATAAGTCTCTGTTTTGAGACTCTGCGACCTAATGTCAAGATGAAGGTATTCTTCCCCTTCAGAAAGCAGTGTGGTTTCAAACAGACACAGAAACTGATCTTGATTTCTAATTTCTGTAAGCAAATCCTTTCTTCCTTAAAATCTTTGCACAGTTGTTTATGGGGGTGAGTGGCCCAGACTGATGGAGGGAGGGATAATTAAGGAGTTTGATGTTTGGTTTGATTGCTTTGTCTAACCTTCTGAATGCTTAGAAGATTTTGAGCAGTGTGTTTTTACAGTGAGGTAGCCTGAGTCTTTTCTTAGTTTTGTCTTTTTTCAGAGAGCAGCTTTTTTGGTTTGTTTTATTCTTGGCTTGTCTTTTGGTTCATGTGTGTGTATATTTTTGGCAGAAATAACATTTGACTTATCTAAAGAACAGTGTGTGTCTGTCTGTTTTAATATACTGCTCCACCTGTGCATGGAGTGCAGTTTGGAAGCACTGACAGCTGTGTTCTGGTAACTCTTGATATGGTGAGTTCTTGTGTACTAAACTGGGGTATTTTAGTGTGGCATTGGCCTCAGTAGGCATAGTTCTAATGTACTGCTTATTCAGCAGCTGGAAACTTTGGCAGCATCTTCCCCAGTGTGCTGAGAGCCCCCAAAGTATTACCAGACACATATTATGGAATCAACCACTACAGTCTTAGGTTGTAGAGACTTGCTTGCAGAAGACTACTACTGGAAGGTAAGAGAGCTGTAGCAAGGAAACGCATGAAGCAGGAGTTGCCTGGAAAGTCTTAACTTAGGATTACAGACCTGATTCTCCATGCCATGTAAGCTAAAATTTTATATAACTCTATAAACATTATATTATACAACTATACTCTCAAACCGGGTCCTCCGATAAAATAAACAATATGAAAAAATAAACTCTTGCAATAGCAGCTGCTTAGCTGCATTTAATCTACTTTTCATGTTCAGTGACTTGTAGAGGGGTATACAGGTGGAAGGATGTGTGGAGATCCTTGATCTCAATTTTCACGTCTGTTGCTGTAAAGACAGACATGCATTCTGAATGGTATCTTCCCCCCTCATTCTATCTTGTATTATAACTTTAGAAATAGAATGTGGTTTGTGTTGACATAAAAATAGGCAGTTCCTGTGCACTCAGACTTCCATTCCTAGGTATCGACTGCGTAACACTGGCTGATCTTTAAGCTCAGTGAATTCTGTGTTGGTATTTTGTTAATCTAGCTCAGTGGTCACTGTGCTCATTTTTCCTCTTAACTGCTAGATTTTTTCAGGATGAGAACACTGCAGCCCACAAAGCTGTGGTTCCATTAACAGCACTGAATATCAGAGCACTGTCTTGCTAGCTTCTCCTCCGATGACCCCTCATTAACCTTGCCTAAAAGGCTTCCAAAGCCTTTTTCATATGCTGCAGAAATGCACACAGAAGAACACTTGTCTGTTCTGTATCCTACTTTTTCTGAATAATAGGGTGGGGGGGGCTGCAGTAACTTCCCTCAAATTTTCAGATATTTGGGAAGCTTAATAAAATGCTGCTTGGTGTAACCTCAGCAGAGCTAGATATTTTACTTACCTTGGTTATCAGTCACTTTATCTATAATTTACCAGTGCTTTGAAGTCTGCTGTGGTGTACATTGTCAGAGCACATCACTTGAAGCAGATTCATTCCTACTAATTTGCCTGGTGTTTTCTAGCACATCTCTTTTAGATAAAAGCTAGCTGGTGTTTCTTCAATGTAGTTTAAAAATAAAAAGCAAAAACCCAAACCCAGTACTTACACGAGCAGTATAGCAATGCAGGATGTAGTGGTGTGATCTGCAGAAAGTAAGCAAAACATGTCTGTAAACGGTAAAGCAATCAGTCTATTACTTTCTTCCTTGATATCTTCCTATTATGTGGAAGAGAGAGCTTCTCTAAGTTGTTTAGCAGATCACTCACTCAGCTGTTGAGTGTGTCAGTTCATTCTGTTAATGAAATATTTGCCTGTAGTTTCCTAACAGGGCACTGTTGCTTTTACTGACATCTAAAACTCCATCTCTGACATGCGGTTCTGGAGGTCTGTTGTATTATTGTGTTGAAGTTTTTCTTCTGAATTGTTCTGTAGTTTAGCTCAGGCCCCTTCTGTGCTCTTTGGGGCCGTGTAGCAGAAATGAGGCAAGGCAGAGGGTGAGACCTTTTTTTTGAGTTCATGAGCACTGTGCCCAGCAAGGGCCGTTCTGGGGCTGCTCCTGGATCCGCTGTGCTGTGTGGTCCTTGTCACATTGCTTTGGGACAACGCCTGGAAGGACCGCAGGAATTCGGAAAGGAGAACACATGGAAAAATTGCTCAATAGAACCTATTAACTGGTGTACGAGCAGCCCAGATGAAATTTAAGATTAATCTAAATGTCAGAAATGTATTTCCTTCCGTCTTGCAGAAGGATGCTGAACAGACATTAGCTTTGGCTGAAAAAAATCACCGAGGGGAATATAGATAACTTTTGCTGATGTACCTCACTTTTTGTGGCTTGGCAGAAAAGCTGATCTGTGATGAGGTTGGTTTAGTTGTCTTTATTTCTTCTTCCTTTACATAAGATACCTAGGCACAGGGATAGAAGGCAGGCTGTAACAGTACTGGGTAATTTATGCTCTTCCAGATTAAATACACCAGCAAAAGGGTCAGCCCATATACCTGGCATATTGTAACTGACCGAGTTTCCTGTCTTACATTGAATGATGTAAGTAGCTCTGATAGCTGTTTCCTGACCAAAAGAAGTCAGAGGGGAGCATGTGGATAAATGAAAGCTGCCAAGAAAAGATTATTGAATGGTATTGAGCTGAACAATTGTTTCACTTAGTGCCTCACTCTATTCAGGCCTCTGGCACTGTAGAACCATAGGTCACGTGCTGGGAAGCCTTGCTGTTTGTCCTGGCTTGTCAAAACAATTTAATGTAGGTGGAAAGGAATGAGTGAAATGAATGTAGTGGGCTCGATGCATCTGTTTCAATTTGTTGGAAGGGCAGCCTGGTGATTGGGATGTGACACTTCAGTCCTTCAGGGAAGCTACTGGTTCAGGGAGAACAATGCTGTCCAAATTATGAGGTAGTTAAGTCCATTTTAGGAAGCAAGTTCTCTTCGAGTTTGACAGCTTGTGTATTTTTAAATATTTAGGCTATATCAGCTCAGCACTTGCTGTAACTGAGATGCAAGAATGTGATTTGCAAACAGCAAGACTTAGGAGTTTGTCTTGTCTGCCTGGTGTTGCTTCATTATATGGTCAAAATGAATGTCTGGGGGAGGAAGGAGGGTGTCCAATCTCTTTTTTTTAAAAAAAAAAAATTATTATTTTTAGTTGAAATTCCAAAACAAATTGGCCTTGGAAGGATAGGATATCAAGTTGTATATTATTAACAGTTCTTAAAGTGGCATCTTTTTAATAAAATTTCTCAGATTTTTGTACGCACCTTTATATCATGCACTGTTTCTCACTGTTTGATTTAAAAAATAAAAATAAAAGAGAGAACATTGCATTTGTTTACCCAGTCTTGTGCTTTGTGATACTGGAATGTCAAGCTGTGAGGTCTGGTTGCTGGAAACAGCAAATGCACGCTGATGTCTTCCATCTCTGTACCTACTTTAGACCCCGAGCTGAGGGGAGGAAAAAGGCTGCAGGAGATACAGATCTTATTTGATTCGCCTTTGATATAATTTAATCAGAGGTAATTGCTTACTTTGAGTGATAAACTATGGTACTTCTTGCTGTTTCTTTAGAGATGGGGATGGAACGGGAGCAAGGGTGACTCTTGCGTTCCTTGTGTTTAGCCTGTAGGCTGTTTGCAAGTTGTGTTGTTGGAGGGTAGCTTATGCAAGTGTAACCACCAATTATTGTGCATACAGATGAATTTTGTTGGTGTAATTGTACATGAGGTCTAATTGTTGAGTGCTAGTTTTCTTTTTCAAGTACATATAGCATTTTATGCTACCTAGCACTAGTGTTCCTTTAAGGAAGGATATATAAATACCTGTTACAAATCGGGGTAGTTAAAGGCCGTACACATTGCTGGTCTTATGAAACAAGTGGCTTCTGTCCTTTTCTGACAGCTCTATTCAAAATTAGCTTCGGCTGCTGCAGTGCTACTGAAAGGTGTGATGTTTCCTTGGTTGCAGAAATACTGCTGTTTTCTCTGGGTGCAATTTGTGTTCGTTGGCCTGCATTTGTGTCCGAACTTGTCTGAGATCATTAGGGTACTGTGGCTTCCAGAGAAGTGTTGCATTAATATATTGTCATTGTCTGGACTTTTTTTTTTTCTTCTGTTAATGCCAGCAGTGAAGTGTTGAGTGTCTGTTTTAAACATCACAGATACATCTACAGGAATATGATGCTACCATTGATGTGACCAGAAAGAGAAATGACTCAAAGTAGGCATGCCCATTAGGAATCTGCTCCTTGATAAGAGTGATTAGCACTTGTTAGTTTCTATCCAGCACCACAAGTACAGCAACAGGGGAAGCCCAGAGAGGCCCTTAAAAGTGAGATCGGGCGTATTCAGGTTTAAATGAAAACTTAAGGGCAAGTCTAGTCTAAAATTGGTTAGTAATATTTGTTAGTTCACAAAATACAGGAAGCTTAATCCAAGTGTATAACTATAATTTAGTTTTTGTACACAAATAAATGCAGGTGTTTGTATTACATTGCTAAATTTAAGCGATGTAACGAGTAATTGTTACAGCCTGTGTTTTATAATTACCATAAATAGTAATTGGATGTAGAGCTAAACAGATGAATTATACAGATAAAGAGCACAGGCTGGGAATAATCTGCTTTGTTGTCTTTGTGAGAATGATTATTGTGATTGTGCATTCTGTTCAAAGTATTGAGATTCTTAAACCATGTGTGTATGATCTTTTGATCGACGTGCTGATAGCAGCTCACTGCTTTTCTGCATCTCTGCTGCTTGTAACAGTCGGGATTACATTGGTCTTGGACAGAACTTGTGCTGCTGTATATTGTGAAGAAAGGAAAGCTATTAGCTGTGTAAGAGCTGAAATGGGAACGTTACTTCCATATTAAAGAAACTCAATAAAAACCAAATCAACCAAAAAACACCACTAAACCTCAGCAGACATGAATATTGACATGTTTTCTTAGTGTTTCTGCAAGCACATTCTATCAAAACTTGTCTGTGCAAGTATGCTTTCTGAAGGAGTGAGGAGAAGTGGTAGCACTAGTTTCTGCAGGGGGAAATAGTTGCGGGATTGAATGCTTTTGATATCTATTGATTAATTTGTGGCACTTAAGAACTGGTGTTTTCCTAAACAACCATAAATATATGGTAAGTGATAGACGCATAAAAGCACTGACATCTGAAATAATTTCAGAACTATTCTACTATTTGATCTGGAAAATTCCTACGCTTCTAAAAATTGGGGCTTCATCTGGAAATGAAGTAGTCCATGCCTCCTAGAGAAAGTCAATAATTTATGTGAATAGAGGGTGGTTTAGATAGTAACATGGCTGAATAGTATTGAGAAAACACACTGACTTCACAAAGGAAGAGGAATTACAGATTAGTGGACAATTGTGAACAGTTTGAGTAGACCCTACATACTTATTCTACTGCCTTCTAGTTGAAAAGTAAATGTAGCCTTAAAATTTTTGCTAAGATTTGACAGAGGGCACTGGTTATTTGTAATTAGCTGGCAGAAACACTGATTGTAAAAATCTGGGCTTTGACTCTATCTAGAATTGTTTTTCATACTATCTGCATATGGATCTGATTTATGTCAGTTATCAGCCAAACTAGTGTGACTATGCACTTGTAAACTGACAGCTGAAAGATGCAAGGAGACTTCATATTTGCAGTTTATCCCTGGTCAGCTGGTCAGAATCTTGAAGATATTAGATAGTTGGTTGCTGTAGATAGTACAGCAATATTGTCCAGGAAAGCTTTTTCATGACTTGTCTCTGGCCAAAAGCTCGCTGTCTCTCTGGTGTGAATTATGTCTTTGTTTTCCTTGATGCTAGATTACAGGAAGCTTGCTCAATCATGAGGTCATGCTTTTAATAAAAATAAATTAAAAAAAAAAATCCAACCCAAATTTATTTGTCTTTCTTTGGAAATGCATCCTATAAATTAAGTTTTTTGCTCTATCATCTGTATGGAGAATTAATCCAGTCTGTTACCAGTGGTGTGGATTCTATGCTTGAAGGAATAACTGAAGATTATAGGTGTTTATAATCTGAGATATGTGCTTTAAATGATCCCTTTTTGCCTGACCTTGAATGCACGAGTATTTTAGGACGTTGTCCCCTTTCCACCTCAAGTCAAGCAATCCCTTTGGAGTAGGGATAGAAGAAATAGCACTAGGAGATAATCCCCATTCATACTGTAAGGAAAGCTATGATAGAGTATCTTCTAAATAAAGAAGTTACTGCATGAGTAACTGTCAGCAAAATGGCGTTTAAAAGATGCTGATTCTTGTTGAATGACTGTACACAACTGTTTTTCAATTTGCAGTTTCTCTGAGAAATAAAACAAAGCTTTATTTTCTTTTTTGTTAGGATCGGAAACTATCCAAGTCAGAGCGACAAAGATTCAAAGAGGAAGCTGGGATGCTGAAAGGGCTTCAGCATCCCAATATTGTCAGGTTCTACGATTCCTGGGAGTCCACAGTCAAAGGAAAAAAATGTATTGTCCTTGTGACAGAACTCATGACATCTGGAACATTAAAAACGTAAGTAAATTCTAGCATGTCAAAGCACTTGATGAGCATTATAACTATTAGGGCATTTGAAGTAGGTAATAATTCAAAATAGCTAAGGACAGAGACCTTTTACTGAGGGCTAAACTCCTGCAAGAGAGGAGTTAAGAAGTTTAAGGAGTTGAAGAAGAGTTTTGTTAACACTGCAGGGTACAATGGACCATTCTTTACGTTAGCAAACTTGTCAGATTCTTCTTTGTGACGTCCTACTAAGTACATGCAGGAGAAGTCTCTGATTTTTGTGAGCTCAGTAAGTATGCTGCTTTTTTGTACCTTTTGTTTTCCTCCTGAGCTTCTTCAATTTGGCATGAGGTATTTTGTAGAGTTCAAAGCTCTTACTGATTCACCTTGCTTGGGAGGCATTGGGTGTTACTACAGTATGAATAATCAGTAAAAAGAAGGAATAAAAAGCATACCCAAAAATACATCTTTTTAGTTAAAACTCCATGAGGTTGTACTTTAGAAAAGCTTGAAAGCTTTTACAGTTTTGACCTGTGAAGTAATTGAGTGAAGCTAGATCTATTTTCAAGCCAGTTGGAAACTAGTGATTGAAACTGCTGTGAGGGCCCTCTAGTGGTACGTAAAGCTGAGGGAGTTGAACTGAAATCATGCTTTTGTCTTACGCTGTAAATCTTGCGGAGATGTGAGTTTCTTCAGGAGCATCCAGTTGCTGTTAAATTACTGGAAATAAAGCTGCCGTGACTTAAAATTCATGGATTGTGAGTCGTAGTCTTAATTTGGTGTCCATTTAAATCTTGGACTAGCATTTAAATCCTAAATGTGTGAATAGAGTGTAGGAACTTTGGTTAAAATAGGCTGTGAACTTCTTGTGGCTTTTTTCCTCTTGCAACATTTGTTGATTGCCACAAATGGACATGCTTAAAACAGGGAAAATGTGCTCCTGGGAGTCTGAACTGTAATTATAGGGATGTGTTTCTTTCTTGAAATAGGGCTGGAGTACTAAAGAAGTTGTAACTTTATCTATGTGTCCATGAAGAGCTTTCCTGAGGTTGTTTAAGGTATATCAGATAAAGTAATAGATCAGTTACTTTATGTCCTGTACTTAGAACAGTATGAAGGTTTTACAGCTTTGTACAGATGCATCTATTTGCAGGTATCTATTTTCATAGTGGTGTATATAGGGTTGGATATAACTCTTCCTCTCTTTCTCACTCTGTTCTTTCCCTCACAGTTCTTATGCTTGGATTGCTTTGTTATGCAGTGGCATAAGCAAGATAAAGTAAAAGCAGATAACTATAAGATAATGCTTTGATAGGAAGAAATACTTAAGATTTACTAGCCATAAGATTGTTTTGTACTCTGAATTATGAAGGTCTTTTTTTATCTAGGAAAAAAAACCTTAATATTCTTTTTAATTGGCTATCGTTTAAATAATATATTTTTTTTCACTATTGTGTACTTCGTTTGTAATTTAGTTCATTTTTCTGCTCCTCACTGGATATCTGACAAGTAAACTACATGAGAAATTTCTGAAATACCAAATTTAATATCAATGTGTATTTCATTTATATTCTATTCCCATACTGCTCACTTATTTTTAACATATGGAGTTTGAATGCATATTGCTTCCATATTTATCCAGTGTGTTTATACTACTTGCTTTTAAAACAAGTGGTATCTTCCTCATTCTGAGACATAGCCACTGTTGCCACTTGATATTAAAAACAAACAAACAAAATGTGAGATGTGTAATGTTATCCCAAAGTATCTTTTCACGAAGTTGTATTGTATTTGTGTATGTAATATTGTGAATTCGTCCTTTTAAAATGCTGCCTGGGAAGACTTTTAATTGCACAAAGAAAAGTCCCTGCACTTCTGGGGAACATACCAATTTAAACGTCTTACAACTCAATTACTGTAAGAATTTGCTTTCTAACATTATATATAAACAGAATTGAAGTATTGGAAAAAATTGAATTGTCTACTTTAAGTCTTAATTACACTGTTAATGAAGATGGCAGTTTAATTTTTCTGACTGAAGTCTCAGCCTCTAGTTCTGACTTCAAAAGCCACTGTCGTGTGTATTCCTGATCTACTTCAGATGAAAGTATTAATGATTCTGGTAGGACATGTGCCTTCATAACTGTTTCTGCTAAGTAGAATTTCTTTAGCTCTGTGAGATGAGATGCTGTGATAGATTGTGAGCCTTCCTGGTTTTAAAAAAATCCAAACAGGTAAAATTGTGAGACAGAAATCAAACTCTAGTTCCTACTTTTCTCTATTTGTTGAAGATAACTATTAGGATAGTCTTGTTTTCTCATCTTTGCTTGTATTCTGTGCTAAGATCAAATACCTATCTTTAATTGACAACTACCCTGTTAAATAGAGAAGAATGATGCTGATCAGCTAGGAACAAGTTCAGTGGCAGTCATCAAGATGGCAGGGGTTGGAGTACCTGCTGTGTGATTATGAGCTGGAAAAACTGAGCTAAAGAAAGGAAACCTTTAGGAGTGACTTAGGCACTGGAAGACTGCTGTTATGAAGAAGTCATAGGCTCTTTCTGTTGCTGCTTGGTGGGTAGGAGGATTAGAGGTAACAGGCATTAACTGAAACTAGGGAGCTGGTTTCTGGGTGCAGTAAGAAGCTTTCTGACAGTCAGGCAGTGGAACAAGTTGCCCCAAGAGGTATGCTGTCTCCTTCCTTGGAGATGCTCAAGATCTGACAGGACACAGCCCAAATGAACCTGGTCTGACTTCCTGACTGACCCTATGTGGAAAAGCTTAGCCTAGAGACCTTTTGAGGTCTTCTCAAACCTGAGTTACTGTATGTGTAATACTTGGATAAATAAAGCCTAATAGGCTAATAGGGCTGTACATGTATTTTTTAAGTATTTATATATTTTTCCATTTTAAAACACTTTCTACCTTAAGTGACGTGTGACTTTGTTTATGGCAGTGTTATGGAAAAATTACAGCAACGCTGCAGGATGCTGGGTGATGGTTGGACCCAGGTCCTTTAACAGTGAGAAGCTGGCAGTAGACTAGCATATTTGAAACCAAGAATGTAATTAGGGATTCCAGATGCTGAACTGAAGTGCCCCTACCATGTGATCTTTGGAACAGACTCAAGAGTGATGAATGAGGATTGTGTCAATAGCAAGAATTCAAGTGGTAGCTGATGTGATCCAGAACTTCCTTCAGCTTGTCTCCTTCCTTGGGTTGGCTTTTTCCCTGTCCGTCTTTACAGTCTGGTTCAAGACTCCTTCTGGAACTAGGTCCTGACTGCTTTTACAGTTTTGTTTTTTTATTGCTAGCAGTTTGTTTCCCAGATCTTCCTCTAAAGTGGAGAAATTAAAGTAACGGGAGTTTAATTATGGAGTTTTTATGCTGGTGTTGATGCAAGTAATTTTATGGGTATGCAGAAGACTGAACACTGCCATTCAGTAATTGAACCTGACTTGATTTTAAGCATGTAGCTGCTGAACTCCGTCCTGGTCACAGAATTTACACCCAGTCTTGTGGCAGTATAAAACTTGTCCAACCTCAGGCACATAAGAATAAAATTATTGCTGTACAGAGTGTACCATTTCAGCAGTTCCTTCTCTAAATACATGTCAGCCCTTTCTTTTTAAAAAGGAAGAACTCTTTCTTTAAACTAACGCTTCTACCTGAAGAGAGCGTGTGAGAATACACAGCTGGAAAACACTTGAATAGGCCATTCACCTTGTGACATTTAGGCTATCAAAGTTTAGTAGAATAAGATCACGTTCTTGTGTCACGAAGACTGGAAAACAATTATTTGTGTGAATTTTCTCTTTCGACATTTAGAAAGCAGCAATATTAGAACAGTTAAGACTGGGTCATGTTTTGCCTGCAAAGGGATGCTGATGCTGTGCATGTACTTTCCACATCAATCTGTTAGCATAATCATTTTAAAGATCTTCTTTTCCTCTCCGTAGTTTTGAAGTGGTGAGTATTATCTGATCAGATTCAGACAGTCACATCCCATATGGGACAGTACCAGGGAAGTGATCTCTGAGAGTTTTTTATTTGCATGACAGCAAGTAAATTTGATGTAGGTTCAAAGCGTAATCTGGAATCCTTGATCAAAGTGGTTGGAATAACATTGATAACTAGGGTGACTTTGTAACTCTTGCGTGGTCTGCAGCAGCTCTGTACTCGGCTGTTCTTTATTAGCATCTTTGGCTTTACTGCCCTCTTCCCAATAGTTCACCAAGGAAAAGATTTTAACTATTTAAGCAATGATGGGATAAACTGAAGGGTAGGTAATCCTCTTAAATACGTAGATAATGTAATGCATAAGTTTTTAACTGTGTGTTGGGGAAGCAGTGCCTTGAAATTTAGCAAGCTGAGTGCTTAATTATCTTTAGGTTGACTTGGTATGAAAATTATTTATTTTTAAAATATTTTGATAATACAATAATTTAATGTTTTTAATAATTTACTTTTTAACCTTCAGCACTATAGTCTTGTGGTTAGAAGGAAGTAGGCAGAAATTTTCCATAGGGCAGTTTTTCTTTCTTGGAGGGGGATCCATCTTCAGCTCTTTGATTTTTGAACTGGAGAGGTATTTTTTAAAATAGATGAAGTTAAAATTTCTCAGTCTCTTTAGCTACTGCTTTCTCGCTTTAGAACAGCAAATATACAGTATAATCTGCTATTTGGTAGCAGAACTTAATTTTGTAGTACAAGTGGCTGACACTGGAGCCTGTTTCATGTACTGTTATTTTTCTGTAGGTACCTGAAAAGATTTAAAGTGATGAAAATCAAAGTACTACGAAGCTGGTGTCGTCAGATACTGAAAGGCTTACAATTTCTACACACACGCACTCCTCCCATTATTCATAGAGACTTGAAATGTGATAACATCTTCATTACTGGCCCCACTGGTTCAGTCAAGATTGGAGACCTTGGACTGGCAACCCTGAAGCGAGCTTCTTTTGCCAAAAGTGTGATAGGTAAGTCTCTACTGTTTAGAAGGCTGATGAGCCGGTCTATGTACTTGGGAATTCGAGCCTTAAGAGCTTTCCTTTTAAAATATGGTTTCAAAGTTACACAATCTAAGCTTGAAGATGTGTAGGCTTGATTTCTTGGCTTTTGAGGTCAGGTGGAGTTCCTGATGAGATGACATGATGCCTTTTGTATTTGTATAGTAACTTAAAGTATTTCAGAATATAGATTTATTGCCTTGCCCAACAGTTTTCTGCAACACTGTTGATACAACCATTCTTAACTGCATATGAAAGGTGAGAATTATATATCTCTTCAAGAAACATGCAAATAGGTTTTGGTGACTAACAAATATCTTGATGTTTAGCTAAGCATTAATTTATACAGCCAATTTTTTCAATTGTCACCAGATGTTAATATTAAATCTCTTACAATTGGCCAACAAAAACTAAGATATATCAAAGAAAGTCAAAATATATTGCAGTTGGACTGGGGTATAATGTTTTAACCAGAAAGTCTCTGGACTGCAGTTTTACGTTGAGTCAGGAGGATGCATTGGGGAAGTATTGTCTTGTACTTGCTCTGTTCTTGTGTATCCGCTAATGAGCGTTTTCAGGAAATAAGCTATTGGATTGATAGATCTAGTACAGGTTTTCTTGTAAATTCTTTAAAGAAATGGTTTTATCAGCTTTGTTCTTAAAGTTGGGCAAATAGGCTTTGAGGAATGAAATTGCTTTTATTTCCAGTGTCTAAGCTTGCTAAAATGTAATATTGCTCAACAGTCCTATATTAGATACCCAAATGGGATAAAAGATGTATATCCATAAACTGTCTTGAAAGTGATTGCTGAAATATTTCCTGCTTCTTAACCAGGTCAAAATAATAGTACGAATGAAAAGTACACATTGTCCAAGAAAAAAAGTTTTTTTCTTAAATGTGCTCCCTTCTTCTTCAAATACATCATTACAAAATTATCCCTTTGTATGTTCATAGTTTGCCTTTGGGTAAATGGCTACAATGACATTCTCTCCATTTTGTGTTGTGAAAACAAAAGTGACTGTTCATTGATTTGTAGAACTATCTTGATTCTGGTATTTGCAGGAAGTAATTCTGTGCTTAAATTTACAGAATCAAACTTACGTCTTTGATCATACAGTGCAGTCCCTTTGATTACAGAGGGGATGCTGTGATGCTTCTCTGAGCAAAAATTCTCTGCAAACTATTTAAATGGGACTTGTTGAATCTCACGCTCTATGCTTGTAACTCAATCTCTCTGTATTTCTAAGTATTTTTTGACTGTAGGATGTTCCTCACTAATGCCTGTATCTGCAGTAGGCCTATAAATATACTGCAGGTGAGAAGGTAAGTATATGAAGAAGAGGGCTCCGGTGAGTGGCCTTTGCAGAAAATTACTTTTCACTTTCTATCATGAAGATTTATATTTTTTTAACAAAAAGAGTTTTTCATTGCAAGGCCTTTCCTGAACCATTCTACTTCAAAAAGTAGGTGGAGAGCACTAGGACAGAGACTAGCTGTGGGCTCTTACCAATACTACTTCTTTTGCAGCAGAGGGCGGTCAGGTAATTCTTGAAACCAGGTTTAATGTGCCTCCTTTCTTACAGGGAGAAAAGGTAAGTGTCTTAACTCTCCTTAGTATTTGGTTTGCAGCCTATGGCTAGTCTGTTTTCCCTTCTTCTTATCCCCTTTCCTCCATTTGATGCCTGATTCAGTCTGTTTTGGTACTTGCACTAACATGCATAAAATGAAAACTACATCAGTCCGTTCATGCCATTCTGATTCCATAAAGACCTTGCAATGGAAGACTCGCAAAGTGGTTTGATAAAACAGAGTGACTAAGGGTTTCCTCCCTCTTCTTTTTGCCTCCACTTTCTTTTGTCTCACAGGTCTGCCCATCCACTTCCTCCTGCGGTGAGTAACGCCAGCAGCCTCTGCTCGCTTTGAGACATTTAGAGTCTGAATCGTTCTTTTAATTTAAGGTACCCCAGAGTTCATGGCCCCCGAGATGTATGAGGAGAAATATGATGAATCCGTTGATGTATATGCTTTTGGGATGTGTATGCTAGAGATGGCAACGTCTGAGTATCCTTATTCTGAGTGCCAAAATGCCGCGCAGATCTACCGTCGAGTGACCAGTGTAAGTTCCTCCCCACTACTGGCTCTAAGGCTGTCAGCCTAGCAAAAGAGTAAAGCTGGACGGCATGGCATTGTACAAGTGTTTGCGGGGGGAGAGAATAATTAGAGTGTTTAGGAGTATGGATGGAAGTGAATGAAACAATTCAACTTACCTCAAATGGTTCATTAGAAGCTTGTAAAATACGTGAGTGGAAATAAAATGTTGCATGTGCTGATGCCTGTTTGGTATACAAGAAGATATTGGATAGGATTTAAAACAGAGAAACTTGACGAGAAGGAATAGAAAGAATAGTGAGGTTGGCTATTTGGGAGAGTGAAAACTTACTCTGAGAAAATCAGTGCATCTGTTCACATGTGCAAAGGGAGAAAAAGACTTTCAGCTGTCTACAGATTGGAGAAAGTATTATTCCAGTTAATCTTTTGGTGTGTATTATTTTTGAGGCTTTGAGGATTTAATAACAAGCGATTTGCTTAGGTCTGGAAAAATAAATGCTTATTCCTGGTGCCTCATGCTGTAAGAGAGATATAATTGCCAACTGCAAACAGAGAAGAAAGAGTCTTTATGTTAGAAGGGAGTTGCTAAGGAAGGCTTGGTGAAATAGAAGATGATAGCTTTTTTGAAGGAGAATGTGAGGGAGGCACAGTAGGAGGAGGAAGAAGAGGAAAAATACCTGTTTCTTTTTTTTTTTTTTTTTTTTATCAACAACTAGAGTAAGTTTTTAACATTTTTTTTTTTTTTTTTTCTTTTTGACATGTCGGTTAACCTAACTGTAATCCAAAAAAAAAGGAACAGGAGTAAAATCTAGTTGATTAACTGCACGTTCTGATCTGCTGGCTATCTGGATCAGAGAAAGAAAACAAAGTAGCTTATGAAAACAATTTTTAGTGGTATCCTTTGCAATACTTGTGTATGTTGCCTAGGGCCAAAGAAACATAATTTCAGAATGGATGGGTATTTTATGCCAGAACAGACACCGGATGCAACTACCCTGCCCTGTTGCTTAAAATGTGCTAGGAACTGCTAGGAACTGGGCCGTGGTGATGAAAGTCATCTTTTGAAATAGATGATCTCAGGCTTGGAAATCTCCAGGAGCATCCTTTTCCTGGTCTGCAAAATACTTAGCAAATTGAAACTTAATTATAGACTTACTGAGGTTCTACTTACCACATGTGTGTTGTACCTTTGACAAACTTGAATACTTCTTTCTCCCCACTGTTTTTGGTTGACCGTTGAACTTCTAAGTGAATGAGGAGCAGGGAATGGTAACGGTTTGCTCAGTCCAACACATCTTTTACTGCGCTTTGCTGCTGATGTTTCACAAATTGAATTGTTGACTTTTTCCTGCTGTTTCATCTACAGTTTGACATCTCTAAAATGCATTTTGACATGAAAATAAAAGATTTCCTTGATTGCAGAAGGAGCAAAGAGCAGAAAAGTAAACAAAATGGAATGTACGTGTCTCTGCTTCTAGGCAGAGAATGAAAGGCTATCTTGATAAATCTGGGTTTTTTTTAATTGTATGATAGCCACAAAGCAGTGTGCTTAAAAACAAACAAACCCACAAAACTGAAAACAGACAGTTGAATAGTTTTCAAAGAAGACTTTCAGTGAAAATACAACATTATCTAGAAATAAAGCATAAATGTTTAAGTGATAATGGAGAATTCACTGTTTTTTTTTTCTGTAATGTGAGCAGCACAATGATGTTATGAAATAAAATGCACTTTATATTCTTTTTACCAACATGGGAAGAGCCCTACAGTTTTCTGCTCTTGTCCTCTTAAGATTTTTATTTTCATTTTGAAAGATATTTTAGGAATTTTTTCAGTATCTACATTTGTGGACAAGGGGTTGGACTGTTAAGAAATTCGGTACTTAGAAGGTCAACAGGTGAACTGTCAACTATGGAATGGAATTGGAAGACTTTGTGTATGAGTGAATCCAGCAGTACTTACCAACGCATTTCCTTTTAACTTGGATTAGAAGGTGATTGTGGTCTGTGGTAGATGTTTAATGTTTCCAATTCAACCCTCCAGTTTGCTTTACTTTCCTAGGAATATTTAGGAACATTCTGAGGTAGGAGCTGTGGTCTTGCTGTGCCTTAAACAACAGGATGATTTTATCTAGCTGCATGCACAAAGACCAGAAGTAAAGACAGTAGTGGCAGTCTGCCATTGAAAGATCATGGATGTGAAAGCATAAAAATCACTGAAACTTCTAAAGGCAACAAGATAAAAGCATGCAGTCACTCAGTGCAGGAGGAATGTATTTAAATGAATTGATTTCCCTCAACCCCTTTCTAGCTACTGGTGTGCTTAGTAAAAAGCACAGCTGGTCTGTTAGCTTAGACCCTAGCTATGGCGTAGGACAGAAACCTGAAGATGTCTTAATGTCCAAGGTGCTGTGTCCTGTTAGGACTGGCTTGCATTTTTCTCTCCTGTCTTGTCTATATGTTGTTTTTGCTTCTAGCATGGCCTTGACTCTGCCTTGCTGTCTGAATCTTACTCTTTTGTGATTAGGATTGCTTTACCTGATGTCCAGACACTGCAGCATTGGCTTGAAGTCTTTGCCAGGATTGCTCAGAATACTCACTTGTGTTCTCCCTCCCTGTTTAAGTGTTTTTTTTTTTCTAGAAGCAGTTTTCTGATGAAATAATGTAGTCAGGTAAGCAAAGATGTAGATAGCAAGACTATCTGAAGTTTGCCCTTGCAATGAGAAATGACCAGCCATTTGTTATTGTTTCACATCTTGAACAGCAGTGCTGCTGGATGAGTCTGGTGTTTCCAGGATGTTTGTCTATCCTGTCTGTATTCTCACTGAGAAATTTCTATCCCAATGCTCTTTTATTAGGAACAAAAATAAAGTGCCCAAGTTCTCCCTGGCACAAGAAATAAGTGCAAGGTTTTAAACAGGTTTTCTGTCTCATTTTGATTAGAAGAATTCTTTCAGTAAAAGAACTGAGTAAAAGCTCAGTTTAAAAACTCTACAGTTTGTAGGCCTTAACTTTGCTTTACCATTCTGGTGAAGAAGTTGGGAGAAGTTTGACACAACATACTTACTTTTTCATATTTACACTTTCCAGCAAACTCCATCCAGACCTTTTTACTAGCAGTTTCTTTAGAAAATACCTGCCTGTTGTGTCTCTTATGTGTAGGGAGTCCAGCTGCCCTCCTTATCAAAACATAATGTGGCAACTTGGTCTCCACAAAGAGCGTGTTTTCTTCTTTGAAGCTCTGTAGCATTCTTTGGAAATGGCTCTAAATAAATGACTAGCCAGTACTTAAAAATCACAGCAATTGCAATGTCTTTATCTTACTTAAAAAGAAAAACAAACAAGAACTCCCCTGTGATTTAGGCTGAAGAGATTCAGCTGGGCATGCATTGCTACTTGGCCTAAGAAAAAAACACCTAAGCCTTTAATTGAAGATAAATGGAACTGTTAAGGTCATGTTGCCTGCTCCGGTGATGGTGATAATTATTATTATTATTATTAATTATTTCAGTGTGCAAACCCTACAAAGCAGTATGGGTAGTTAGTACAAAATGTGATCAGGATACTCAATTCTGTTACTTGTTTGCACAAGTGGCATAGAATTTTAGTAAAATTCAGACTTTCCTGTCTGACACTTTTCCTGTCTGTCAACTGGTGTTCTTTCCTTGACTTCTGATAAGTTATTGAAATATGCATCAACCAAGAAACATTTTGAAATGAGCTATCTGTGTATTTAAATGAAACAGGTATTTGTAGAATAAACATCTTAAGTATGATTTCTTAATTTAGACTGTTTGGGAAAGCAGTGCAATGAAGACATGACTGCACTAGCTTCAGCTGCTTTGTCTCAGCCTCTGGTGCAACTGATGGAATCCATGTGATTGCTTCAAAAGCTGGCTGGTCTTTCTTGGCTTTGTTTTTTTTGCTACGTTTGCTCTCAGCTCACAGATAGATGTTGAGTACTTCAACACTGAATTTCCTTCAGGCTTGCTTTTTGCAACACAGGAATTATTTTCATAAATACATATTCGCTCAATCTTTAATACTTAGATGTCTCAGACACATTTTCTAAGTGACTGAGTAGTCTCGACAGGTAGAATAACAATTAATGATTTTTATTATGCAGCTTTATCTCAATCACACACATACACCTCTATTAAAAAAAAAAAATAATGAACAAACCAACCAATGTTCTCATTCCAAACAAATAAAGACCATCCCCAGTTTTAAATGTACTGAAAATGTGGCATATGTATGCCAGATTAAGAACAGACAAGTCTTTCTGACATTAAGTTTTCCTGATGGAGTCTTGTTCTCTATGATTAATTTTCTCCACGTTTACTTGGACAAAGTGAAGTTGTGGACTTACCTTTTCCTTCACCAGAAGTCCAGTCTCTTCTCTAAACAAACATCTGCTATCTGAGCCTTAGCGTGAGAAGAAAAAAAAAACAAACAAACAACAGCATTTTGCATTTTGACTTGAAAAATGAAACACAATGTTCTGTACTGAAATGTTCCACAGAATGTGCACAACTTTTCTCATCTCGGTTGTACAGAGCTTAAAAAAGCACCTGAGGGAACAAGGCACATAATGAGTAACCAGACCAGGCAGTGTCTAACCACTTTAAAAATCTGTAATTTCCCTAACTTGTGGGAACTAAAGCTTACTGGTTAGAGTGAAGGTCATTCCCTTGGCTGGGAACCAGTCGCTCACTAAGTGCTGCAGTTTGGTCACTTGAGGTTAAATCAGTGGCTTTAGTGACTTAAAAATTAGGCACCATAATCGCCAAACTCAATCAACTGAATTTTCTGTATTTTCACTGGAGATGAAATGGGCGAGTCATCCCATCTGTCTTCTCTTTTGTTTCCCTGAAGGGGATAGCAAATGTAAATGCTTAGCCTTTAGTCTTGTGATTAATTTTACTTGTCTAGTGAATATTTATGAATATCCTATTTTAATTTCTAGAAGCAATATGCAAATTGTTTAATGTACATAAAGCTCTGTTCCTTTGTCTTAAATAACTTGGTTTCTTGGTTTCATTCATATGGATAGAAACCTTTTCTACCAAGTTTTTGAATGGGAAAGGTGATGGGGAAGTAGGGAGCAGGAGCCCACAAATAAAGCAAGCAGCCTTTTGTTAAGGCTTATACTGAAAATCCATGAACCTTCAATCAAGCACACTAAAACAGAGTAAGAAGGGGAAAATTCTTGTAACTGTGTTAACTGAAAGAAGAAAACTCAGGCACCTAAGTATTGAGTGGGGAAAATAGTAGCATGAAAATCTATGATTTTTCTGACAGGTGTTATTCCTCAGTATCACACTAAACAGATTAAGCAACATGTAAGCTTCTACCACTTGTTTTCCATAGCTGTTCATCTCAGTTGCAAGCATTCTGAACAGCACTCTTTAAGAGTGAGGAATCTTTCTGGGTAGCAGTACAGTCACTGACTCATCAGTTCAGAAATACATTGGCTTAAAAATGGATGAGGGATGAAACAAGAATACGAGGTCTCAAAACATTAATATCTTAAGAAGCTGTTAGTTCATAGTCATCTTTTTAAAGAAATAGTGAGCTAAGTGAGAAACAGCAGGGATAAACTAAAATACTGAGCTGTAACATGCTATGCAGTACATAAAGCTAGGGAAGATCTTAAGTTAGGAGAAAAAAAGCTCATTCAACTGAATTGCTTTCTAAAAGGAGATCGCTTTTACAAGTTGGTCTTAAGAGGCATTTGTACTATTCAGCAACAAAAGTTTCTAGATTACAGCTAAAGCAACAGCCTGTGTCAGTGTTGGTATTGTAAAATGTGGTTTGAAGTGAAAAGTTTCTCCTGTATTGTTCACTGCTGAGCTTGGAATGTTTCTCAATTTTTAATTAGATATTTTAAAACAACCAGAAATTAAAATGGGGGAGAAACTGAGCTGAGCTGCAGAAAATGAAGATCAAATGTATTTTTTCAATGTGGAAATCTAAGATTTGGTTGTATTACAGGCTTTGGAAATGTAGGCTTATTCAGCTTTCTAAAAATGCCAATATGCTGAGTAAACAACGTATATTAAAAAAAAAAAGTTCAATAACTCCAAATGATCAATTCTTGTAAAATTGTGTTGCTAATATGTAACATTGTCCTGTGTGGACATCTATGTAGCTCTGACATTAACTGAGATAAATTTGACATAGCAAATGGTGGAAAGGTGACTCTTCTGTTAACAAACAGAGAGGGAGAGTCTGATAACTTGATGTTATTCATCACCACTGTGCCACTTGTCAAAAGCACTGATGTTAAGAATGGGTGTGCTGCTATTTCTCGTCCTAACAACTGTATTCCTATAGTTGCACTGGCATGGAAACAAGATGACTTCAGGAAAGTTTTCATTGTTTGGAAGAGGAGTGAGTTCAAAAACAAATAGAAAAAAAAGAAAAAAGAAGTTATTTAAAGATGTTATGTGATTCATAAGCTAGAACTCCACCAAATTTTTACAGAAACCTTATATAGTTATCTCCAAGTTTCTGAAAGCTGTTTCCAGAACTGGCTATGACATGCAAGCATGTATGTCTACTGGAATGCTTTTGTTTGTTCCCATATGAGAGTTGCTGAAACTGAATGAAATTTTACAGTAGTTAATTCCCAAAAGTAGAGAATCATTGAGTCATCTAGGTTGGAAAAGATCTTCAAGATTATTTAGTCCTATCATCAGCCTCATCTACCATCCCCTCACAAAACCATGTCCCTTAATATGTCCATGTGATTCTTAAATGCTTCCAGGGATGGGAATTCCACTATTTCCTGGACAGCCTGTTCCAGTGCCTGACCACAGTTTCTGTGCAGGAATTGTACTTAATGTCCAGCCTAAATCTTCTCTGGTGCAACTAGAGACCATTTCCATGCGTCTTATCCACTTATCACTTGAGGAAAATAAGTCAGTGCTCTCCTAGCTTACAGCCTCCTTTCAGAAAATTGTAGAGAGCAATGAGTTCTCCCTTCAGCCACCTCCAGACTGAGCAACCCCAATTCCCTCAGTCACTCCTTGTGACTCCTTCACCAGCTTCATTGTTCTCTGCAC